TTTTTTAAGTTTCATTTTGCAGTCATTTTGTTACTTTTAGTTTCGAAATAAGTATTAAAATAATTTCCGCTAATTTAAACAGTTTCATAATCAAACCTCTCCTTGCATTCCCGAAGCTACAATGCGCACTGGCAAAGATTGACATGTGCTCTAAAAATGGTATTCGCTATTTCCTAGTGTGTAAGACCATCAGCATTGAAATTTGTTTTCTCTAAAACTAGAATTATTCGAAACCTTGAATTAAGGTAGTCATGTCATAATACACACGTGCGCGATCTACCGTGACGTATGCTCGCCGAGCGGAACGAAGTGGGATTTTTTTTTTTTTTTTTTTGGGCGGGGGGGGGGGGGGGGGGGGGGTTATTTTTCTACAATTTAGCTATTATTGCGATTCTTTCATTAAAATCTACCACTAGTTTTATTCTCCTTTAATTATTAAAATGATTTTTCATTTTTTCTTTCTTTTTAAGAAGTTCTATCTATACATATGACTTCAGAATTTAAACGCATGTCTATTTAAAGGATTTTCAATCCACACAACACTCGTCTTCAGAATAGCCACAATAGCATAAGTAAAACCCTTTCAAGAAATGAAGAAAAAATCGTTACTGTCCTTTATCAGTGTTATCAATATACACACTCTAACTTTATTATAGTAGATCTTTTAAATAATTTCGAAGGCCCCATACAGAGCAACGTGATCTTACTGACCCGGTGACGGCGATACGAGAGCTATGTGTATTTAAATGTAGGTAAAGTCGAGATTACCATGCGTGACGTTTTAACATGATAGACACTGACGCGACATATTAAAACCGGACGTATTGTGTACATGAACACACAAAAAAATCGGTCAATGATTATAAACCTCTACTTTACAAGTGATACTTTTCCCATCAACATAATATATATATATGCATATAAAATGTGTATTTGCTGCGATAGATACTTTTCTAGAACACTTTAAAAACTTTGAAAACTTCACTCCCTCAATTACCCCGGGGTGGCATATAAAGGGTGTGACTTACCTGTAAGTATTTAGTTGTGTTCCCTGGTATTGTCCGGGTCCCCCGGGATGATGTGTGGAGGAGGATGTATGGACAGATTCGATTAGGAGTCGATCACCACTCTATATCCTTATTGACCAACCACAAACATGTATTTATAACGGTGCAATACTCCCTCGCCAGGTATAGCGGCCTTGGAAACAAGGCCCATAATCCACGTTGCTAAGATTGGCGAAATCTCCATTCACCAAAGAGTTCCTTACACCCAGCTGTTAGTGTTCAATGGGGCGTGTCCGGGGACGCATGACACAAAAATATTCATTACAGGTAGCCTTTAATTGCATATATATGTATATACCTTGTGTAAAGAACGGGTGTTTCGTTTAAAGCCGAAGGTGTTGTAAGTAAATATGGTGATGTTTACTTAATAGTTTTGTCAACATGATGAGAGTGGTCGATACTCGATAAGACTAGGCTGTTACTGTGGAGTGATTGAGGGGGAAAGGTGGAAATATCGATATCATAGTGTTGTGAATATTGTATGACACAATCACGATATTAAAGATAATACAGAATGATAACATACATTATGTAGACAGCAGTCTATCTCCACATGTTTATGTTATGTGAGTGGAACTCTTCTGAAGTGAGGGTGATGGTAGCATATGCCTTTAAGATAGTAATCTTGTGGCCTGTCCTGATAGTTTATCTGAAGACTAAAGACCATGACATGCTTTATCAATCAATGAAATCACAACACAACAGTTATCATCTATCTGAATTTGGTGCATTAAAACAAAACAAGAAAACAAACTTATTTAATTTATTGTTATGAAAGACTGTTATGTTGTTGTGTCCGTCTCGCCGTACGTGCAGGCAGCCAGTACTTGACTGTATCTTTACAGTGCTTTTTTAGTGTATACTGCCTTACCTCCTGTTCATGTTGCTAGTTACCCGATAGGAAAAATAGATTCCCTTTAGCATGGAAATCTGGTAATTGAATTGTATTTATTACTTTTATGTAACCTTGGATAAAGCTTAAGGTGACCTATAGCCATTACCTTTTGTCTGTTGTTGTGCTCTTTTCGGTTACTTTTCTCGTTTTCAGCTTCTTCTCAAGAACCGCAAGACCGATTCCAACCAAACTTTTTAATTAGCATCAATATCTGAAGGGGAATTAAAATTGAAGAAAAAAAGCGTTATTTATAAAAAAAAAACTTCTCTTTTGGAAAACCTATTCTTTTATTTCAAGCATTTTATTGATATAACTATCAAAGAGATTAGACAACAGACTGAAAGTCTGTATTAGTCTTCTCCCAAGACAAGTGATCAGGATGTAAAACACACACGAGTATAACAAATATATTGGATAAATTGGTATAAGGGAAGGGAGGTAACTCCAGTTTAAACTTGGTTTTAGTGCAATGATAAAACAATTAAGATAAACAATTTATACAACAATATATCAATAATTGATTTTAGTAAACACAGCCATATACTGCCCTAACAGCTCCCGAATAACTAAAACAACTACCTCTGACAACACATGGAGTAGGAATACAGTCGTCACAGTCCCTATCACTAAGATATCTATCTCTGTTACACCTGGGGTAGTCGTCTGTAGGGATACAGCCCTCACAGTCCCGGATCATTAAGATACCTACCTCTGTTACACCTGGGGTAGTCGTCTGTAGGGATACATCCCTCACAGTCCCGGATCATTAAGATACCTACCTCTGTTACACCTGGAGTAGTCGTCTGTTGGGATACCGTCCCGGATCATTAAGATACCTACCTCTGATACACCTGGAGTAGTCGTCTGTAGGGATACAGCCCTCACAGTCCCGGATCATTAAGATACCTATCTCTGTTACACCTGGGGTAGTCGTCTGTAGGGATACATCCCTCACAGTCCCGGATCATTAAGATACCTACCTCTGTTACACCTGGGGTAGTCGTCTGTAGGGATACATCCCTCACAGTCCCGGATCATTAAGATACCTACCTCTGTTACACCTGGGGTAGTCGTCTGTAGGGATACATCCCTCACAGTCCCGGATCATTAAGATACCTACCTCTGTTACACATGGAGTAGTCGTCTGTTGGGATACCGTCCCGGATCATTAAGATACCTAACTCTGATACACCTGGAGTAGTCGTCTGTAGGGATACAGCCCTCACAGTCCCGGATCATTAAGATACCTACCTCTGTTACACCTGGAGTAGTCGTCTGTTGGGATACCGTCCCGGATCATTAAGATACCTACCTCTGATACACCTGGAGTAGTCGTCTGTAGGGATACAGCCCTCACAGTCCCGGATCATTAAGATACCTACCTCTGTTACACCTGGGGTAGTCGTCTGTAGGGATACAGCCCTCACAGTCCCGGATCATTAAGATACCTACCTCTGTTACACCTGGGGTAGTCGTCTGTAGGGATACAGCCCTCACAATCCCGGATCATTAAGATACCTACCTCTGTTACACCTGGGGTAGTCGTCTGTAGGGATACAGCCCTCACAGTCCCGGATCATTAAGATACCTACCTCTGATACACCTGGAGTAGTCGTCTGTAGGGATACTGTCCCGGATCATTAAGATACCTACCTCTGATACACCTGGAGTAGTCGTCTGTAGGGATACAGCCCTCACAGTCCCGGATCATAAAGATACCTACCTCTGATACACCTGGAGTAGTCGTCTGTAGGGATACAGCCCTCACAGCCCCGGATCATTAAGATACCTACCTCTGATACACCTGGAGTAGTCGTCTGTAGGGATACCGTCCCGGATCATTAAGATACCTACCTCTGTTACACCTGGGGTAGTCGTCTGTAGGGATACAGCCCTCACAGTCCCGGATCATTAAGATACCTACCTCTGTTACACCTGGGGTAGTCGTCTGTAGGGATACAGCCCTCACAATCCCGGATCATTAAGATACCTAACTCTGTTACACCTGGGGTAGTCGTCTGTAGGGATACAGCCCTCACAGTCCCGGATCATTAAGATACCTACCTCTGATACACCCGGAGTAGTCGTCTGTAGGGATACTGTCCCGGATCATTAAGATACCTACCTCTGATACACCTGGAGTAGTCGTCTGTAGGGATACAGCCCTCACAGTCCCGGATCATAAAGATACCTACCTCTGATACACCTGGAGTAGTCGTCTGTAGGGATACAGCCCTCACAGCCCCGGATCATTAAGATACCTACCTCTGATACACCTGGAGTAGTCGTCTGTAGGGATACCGTCCCGGATCATTAAGATACCTACCTCTGATACATCCCAGAAGACAGAGACAAATACTCTCTCTATACGGGCCATTTACTGGTTCAAGTAATATCTGTCTTCACCAAATAGTAAACTCTATATTCTAACTGGTCGCATGATTTTATTCCAAGGATATTTGATATTGAAGGTAATCTATAGTGTATAACTAACATACATTTCACCAAAGTGATGTTTTTTCAAATATTTTCTTTATTGATAACAATGTTTGTCGCTGAAATCATCCATCACGTAATCTTAAGATCCTTTGTGATATACATAACAATCATGGTTTGATAATAAAAAAAACCTTCCTTCCTTCATGCGTTCGTTCGCTCAAAGTAAAATCTAAATCGATTCACAAGCATAATTACGACCAATACACAATAGTACCAAATTATCTTTTTTTAATACAAAAATATAAAAAGTCACGTTCATTGTTAATGTGATATGCACTGATACATACATGTCGCATCACATTGAAATGTAGATTATTTGTATCATAAGACCAAAAAATGTCTTTGTGAGAGACTTTCTTCTAAACATTGACACTTTAGATATTGTATTTTACAAATATAATCAAAACGGATTTAGTGATACGTTTGTATCAAATATCACAGAAATAGCGATAAAAAACTGTTAACACATATGATAGAGTAATCTACCATGTACGTGATAAACAGACTCTCTTACAAAACTATAATACTGTGTATCCCACATGCCGGTACATGACATCAGTAGAACTCACAGCAATCTTGTTCTTTGTTGAAATAGAGGTGATAATGTGATCATATTTACAAAATGATGCTCAAAAATGTCTCCGCCAATCAGAAGATGTGTCAGCCATCTTGGATTACGGGACTATAATTTATTTTGTTTTCACTTGTTCCACACCATTCAAGTACATCTGAAGATAGTATCCAAATAACATTATCACCTTGGGGGATAATGAGAATATAAAACCTACAAAAAGCGACTTTAAATATACCTGTATATATTTAATAATTCACATTTATTCCAGGAAGTCTGTTATATGAGATCTATGAACTACAGCTTCACCACAAAATTTTAAAAATATCTACAACATACTAATGTCCTCACTTATAACCCAGGGTTTTCTGACATTCAATAAATTTTCTTCTATAAGTCTGGACTCCAGACCGATATAAAATGTCAGTAGTTCTCGCCTCTCTGAAGCAAACGTGATAAGGTATATAACTTGTTGTTAGTATACAACGGGTTAAATATGAATTACAATTGTTGGAAGGTTATCAAGATATTAATTATTGGCAATTCTTATTGGAATGGAAAGCACTATCATTGTTTTTGTCGGTTTCTGTGATACGCTTTATCAACGAATTCTGTTCATGAAATAGTAAACAGTTCTATACCTTATCAGGTTTGCTTCAGAGAGGCGAGAACTACTGACATTTTATATCGGTCTGGAGTCCAGGTTTATGTACGAAATCATATGTCAAAAAAGTAAAATGTATTTTAATGACGAAAGCTGACTTCCACCTTAATAAGATGGAAGGGTTGGGTGTGGGGGTGTGGCATAAAAATCTGACTCCCACCTTATAAAATGGAAGGGTTGGGTGTGGGAGTGTGGCATAAAAATCTGACTCCCACCTTATAAAATGGAAGGGTTGGGTGTGGGGAGTGTGGCACAAAACTCTGACTTCCACCTTTATAAAATGGAAGGGTTGGGTGTGGGGAGTGTGGCATAAAAATCTGACTCCCACCTTTATAGAATGGAAGGGTTGGGTGTGGGGAGTGTGGCATAAAAATCTGACTCCCTCCTTATAAAATGGAAGGGTTGGGTGTGGGGAGTGTGGCATAAAAATCTGACTCCCTCCTCATAAAATGGAAGGGTTGGGGTGTAGGGAATGTGACATAAAAACTTATGACAAAACGAAAATAATCAAACGGTGGTGGGTGAATTGACGAGGCTCGATAACAGGACAACAAGATTAGTTGTAAAGTTGTACAAGTTGTGTGGAAAAAACAGGAAATGAAGTCCAACAACCATTCGTGACGTTTAATCAATTAAAACGTTAATACAAAAGATGAAATGACCGCTACAATAGATATACGATATGATGGACATTTTGTTTAATGAATAATTTCCCGTCAGTTCTCTCATTTAACAAAGTAATACTATTATAGGACTACAATGAATAAGTGTAAAATATTCATTCATTTTACAACATTTTTAGCAAAATGAAACAAACTACAAATGTTTCATTTAACTATATGTATATGTTCTACGTACCCAAACAATGGGTTTGGGGCGCTTCAAATAACTCATTCCTAATAGAGGTAGATTCTGCAGGAACTATTGCCTGACACTACAACATATAACGATCCGACAAAACCTGATCCTCACACCTCGAAAAAAGATACAATACTGGACATTACCATTCGAGGGATTATTTCAACCCAACACGCAATACCACATTTACATATCAGCACGTAACAGTGTAACATACACGGAACAGGTGACGTAGGTAATATAGTCGCGCACATGTCCGTGCGCATAGCGCACATGCATTCGTTAAAACCGAGTGGCACATACGCGCTAGGCTCTAGAACAGGACAACACGATTAGTAAATTGCTGAATTGACTAGGCTCTAGAACACGACAACAAGTGGGGACTGGATTGACGAGGCTCTAGAACACGACAACAAGTTTAGTGGTGGCTGGTTTGACGAGGCTCTAGAACAGGACAAGATTAGTGGCTGGATTGAAGAGGCTCTAAACCAGGACAAGATTAGTGGTGGCTGGATTGACGAGTCTCTAAACCAGGACAAGATTAGTGTAGGCTGGATTGACGAGGCTCTAAAACAGGACAAGATTAGCGGTGACTGGATTGACGAGGCTCTAAACCAGGACAAGATTAGTGTAGGCTGGATTGACGAGTCTCTAAACCAGGACAAGATTAGTGGTGACTGGATTGACGAGGCTCTAAACCAGGACAAGATTAGTGGTGGCTGGATTGACGAGTCTCTAAACCAGGACAAGATTAGTGTAGGCTGGATTGAGGAGGCTCGAAACCAGGACAAGATTAGTGGTGACTGGATTGACGAGGCTCTAAACCAGGACAAGATTAGTGGTGACTGGATTGACGAGGCTCTAAACCAGGACAAAATTAGTGGTGACTGGATTGACGAGGCTCTAAACCAGGACAAGATTAGTGGTGACTGGATTGACGAGGCTCTAAACCAGGACAAGATTAGTGGTGACTGGATTGACGAGGCTCTAAACCAGGACAAAATTAGTGGTGACTGGATTGACGAGGCTCTAAACCAGGGCAGGATTAGTGGCGACTTGGATGGTGCTGGTTCCATCACTGCAGTCACCGCCGGCAAAGTAACTTAGACCGTAGTACGCTATCTCGACTTTTCGCCGTTGTCGTGATGGAGTCCACTACCTTTGAACAAAGCACGACCAATTACCATCTGACAAAGACAATTTGACAATACAATGATACTGTAGAAAAGATACTTACAGTAACGTTACAATATTTTGTACTCATTGTTGTGAAAGAACGTATCATGTATGTCTGAAATAAATTCAGTACCTATGTAATATTGGGAGTATTTGATGAAAAGGGTTATTGTGATATAGTTTATATGTCCGAGATAAATTGAATATATGTATATAACTATTGAATCTGATTGATATATCATTTAGATAAGGCACGGACATCTGTATTGTACAAAGTTTGTTTTCAATCAAAATAATATCTATATCAATAATATATGTTTGAATTGAAGTCCAATGAAATTCCACTTAAGACCACATCAGAATTAAGACACCTATATGTTCAGACCATTTCTGAATCAAGACATCTCCCTATCAAGACCACTTCATATTAAGACACTTCTTCGTTAAGATCTCTTCAGAATAGAGACACTTTCATTTTAAGACACTTTCAGAAAAAAACCACTTCCTTCTAATGAATACTTCAGAATTTAGATAACTCCCCATTAAGGCCACTTCATTTGAGTCGATGTACATATGTTTCACTATAAATACAAACTAAGTATTAAGACGGTTTCCTTATTAAGACCACCTCGTCATTTAATCCATTTTTAAGAGTACCAAAGTCAGCTTTCATATTGAATAACACCTGACTTAACAGACCACTGACTCGTCCCAAAGTTACAGTGGGCAGCTAATTCGTCATTAAAATCTACAATCTTCCATCCTATGTTGACACTAGATTTGTTATTCAAACTCGAATCTCCTAAAACGATTCCATTGATAACTTCAGCCCCTCGAAAGTACCCGGCGTGTACTGTATTTCTCTATGTACATCCCTTTGGTCTCCTTGGAAACGCGTCTGTATCTTGTTGTCTGGTTTGTAAGCTCTACAGTAAAACTCCGCCGTGTTAGATATGAAGTCAACCCCGTAAAGCTGAACTCCTTGGGACCACGTATGTGAGCAGTTGTCAGATGTGTTAGATATGAAGTCAACCCCTAAAGCTGAACTCTTTGTGACCACGTATGTGAGCAGTTGTCAGATGTGTTAGATATGAAGTCAACCCCGTAAAGCTGAACTCCTTGTGACCACGTATGTGAGCAGTTGTCAGATGTGTTAGATATGAAGTCAACCCCGTAAAGCTGAACTCCTTGTGACCACGTATGTGAGCAGTTGTCAGATGTGTTAGATATGAAGTCAACCCCGTAAAGCTGAACTCCTTGTGACCACGTATGTGAGCAGTTGTCAGATGTGTTAGATATGAAGTCAACCCCGTAAAGCTGAACTCCTTGTGACCACGTATGTGAGCAGTTGTCAGATGTGTTAGATATGAAGTCAACCCCGTAAAGCTGAACTCCTTGTGACCACGTATGTGAGCAGTTGTCAGATGTGTTAGATATGAAGTCAAGTGAACTCCTTGTGACCACGTATGTGAGCAGTTGTCAGATGTGTTAGATATGAAGTCAACCCCGTAAAGTTGAACTCCTTGTGACCACGTATGTGAGCAGTTGTCAGATGTGTTAGATATGAAGTCAACCCCGTAAAGCTGAACTCCTTGGGACCACGTATGTGAGCAGTTGTCAGATGTGTTAGATATGAAGTCAACCCCGTAAAGCTGAACTCCTTGTGACCACGTATGTGAGCAGTTGTCAGATGTGTTAGATATGAAGTCAACCCCGTAAAGCTGAACTCCTTGTGACCACGTATGTGAGCAGTTGTCAGATGTGTTAGATATGAAGTCAACCCCGTAAAGCTGAACTCCTTGTGACCACGTATGTGAGCAGTTGTCAGATGTGTTAGATATGAAGTCAACCCCGTAAAGCTGAACTCCTTGGGACCACGTATGTGAGCAGTTGTCAGATGTGTTAGATATGAAGTCAACCCCGTAAAGCTGAACTCCTTGTGACCACGTATGTGAGCAGTTGTCAGATGTGTTAGTAAGTCAACCCCGTAAAGCTGAACTCCTTGTGACCACGTATGTGAGCAGTTGTCAGATGTGTTAGATATGAAGTCAACCCCGTAAAGCTGAACTCTTTGTGACCACGTATGTGAGCAGTTGTCAGATGTGTTAGATATGAAGTCAACCCCGTAAAGCTGAACTCCTTGTGACCACGTATGTGAGCAGTTGTCAGATGTGTTAGATATGAAGTCAACCCCGTAAAGCTGAACTCCTTGTGACCACGTATGTGAGCAGTTGTCAGATGTGTTAGATATGAAGTCAACCCCGTAAAGCTGAACTCCTTGTGACCACGTATGTGAGCAGTTGTCAGATGTGTTAGATATGAAGTCAACCCCGTAAAGCTGAACTCTTTGTGACCACGTATGTGAGCAGTTGTCAGATGTGTTAGATATGAAGTCAACCCCGTAAAGTTGAACTCCTTGTGACCACGTATGTGAGCAGTTGTCAGATGTGTTAGATATGAAGTCAACCCCGTAAAGCTGAACTCCTTGGGACCACGTATGTGAGCAGTTGTCAGATGTGTTAGATATGAAGTCAACCCCGTAAAGCTGAACTCCTTGGGACCATGTCTGTAGTTAGGTGATTTATTTGTAAGTCATACAGTAAAACCTCAAGTTAGCCTTCAAACTGACATCTAAATTGTTTTCTCATATTTATTTACAGTGTGTTTAATATTATAAAACCAAAATATTAATCTTATGACTATGAAAATACGGACAGAACTGGCTGAAAGGGCTTGCTTGGTCATATTCACTCTTTAGACCGTCCCGCTATTAAGACCACGCTTGTCTAGGCCACGAGGTGGTCTAACTACTATTGGATTAAAACCATCCCGAGAGGAAATCATTTCATAGTCACAGCTCTAGCACCACAACTGCAATATCATGACTCAGTCACAACCTTTCAAGAATGAAATTTCCGAGGTCAATGTCACTTTAGGGTTACATTGTGTCAGTGATCCTGTGTGTAGAATTGTCCCAATCTCTCTAGCGACTTGAGGGGTTACTACGTGCCTGTGTGGGTTATTTGTAAGGTTGCCCAGTTCACGTAGTTAGATGTTGAGGGGATTTTACCATGTCTTTGACCTCGTGTTTAGGGGGTTACACCATATTTGTGGCCATGTGTTTAGGGGTTACACTATGTCTGTGGTCGCAGGTTGAAGGGGTTACAGCATGTCTATAGTCATGTTTTGAGGTGTTACATCATGTCTGTGGCCGTATATTGAGGGGTTACACTTTGTCTGTGGCAGAGTTTTGGGGTAGTCATGCCATGCTTGTGGCAGAGTGTCGAGAGGCTTACACCTTGTCTGTGGCAGAGTTTTGGGGAAGTCATGCCATGCTTGTGGCAGAGTGTCGAGAGGCTTACACCTTGTCTGTGGCAGAGTTTTGATGGGGTTACGCCTTGTCTGTGGCAGAGTTTTGATGGGGTTACGCCTTGTCTGTGGCAGAGTTTTGAGGGGGTTACACCTAGTCTGTGGCAGAGTTTTGAGGGGGTCACGCCTTGTCTATGCCATAGTTTTGAGGGGGTTACACCTTGTCTGTGCCAGAGTTTTGAGGGGGTTACACCTAGTCTGTGGCAGAGTTTTGAGAGGGTTACGCCTAGTCTGTGCCAGAGTTTTGAGGGGGTCACGCCTTGTCTGTGGCAGAGTTTTGAGGGGGTCACGCCTTGTCTGTGCCAGAGTTTTGAGGGGGTCACGCCTTGTCTGTGCCAGAGTTTTGAGGGGGTCAAGCCTTGTCTGTGCCAGAGTTTTGAGGGGGTCACGCCTTGTCTGTGCCAGAGTTTGAGGGGGTCACACCTTGTCTGTGCCAGAGTTTTGAGGGGGTTACACCTTGTCTGTGCCAGAGTTTTGAGGGGGTTACACCTAGTCTGTGGCATAGTTTTGAGGGGGTCACGCCTTGTCTGCGCCATAGTTTTGAGGGGGTTACACCTTGTCTGTGCCAGAGTTTTGAGGGGGTTACACCTAGTCTGTGGCAGAGTTTTGAGAGGGTTACGCCTAGTCTGTGGCAGAGTTTTGAGGGGGTCACGCCTTGTCTGTGGCAGATTTGAGGGGGTCACGCCTTGTCTGTGGCAGAGTTTTGAGGGGGTCACGCCTTGTCTGTGGCAGAGTGCTGAGAGGCTTACACCTTGTCTGTGGCAGAGTTTTGAGGGGGTCATGCCATGTCAGTAGCCAGATGTTGTTGAGCTATACCACGGCTGTCGCAGTGTGACGAAGGAATACACCGTGTCTGTGGCCGTGTTTGTGTAGTTATACCACGCCAGAAGAAACACCATGTCTGACCGTGTGTTGTGGGCTTATATCATGGCTGTGTGTTGAAGGGTTACACCTACATGGCCTGTCCACGAGCACAACAACCACAAGAATCAAAGCCTGTAAGGTAGAACTATATCAGTAAGTACAAAATGACATGTTCTTTTTTATATGTTCCGCAGAAAATATCTGTATATAGGCACAGACAGGTTCTAGAGTGAGTAACCAAATATACCAAAATAACTTAGAAAGCAGGATGCAAGACACGAACAAAAATGTCTTATATCTTAACAGAATAATGTCATACATCTGCCCACCATAAATGCAATAATTTTATACATCTGAACACATTGTCACACAATTACGTTACAACTCTTAACACAATAATGCCATTTTTCTGAACACAATATCATATATCTGAACACAATGACATATGTCTGAACACAATGACATATGTCTGAACACAATGACATATGTCTGTATACAATGACATATGTCTGAACACAATGACATATGACTGAACACAATGACATATGTCTGAACACAATGACATATGTCTGAACACAATGTCATATGTCTGAACACAATACTGTTATGTACTAACTATAATAACATCATACATTTCCCAAGCATGTTTCCACACAAATAACTCGACGCACAGACGTTTCGTTATTAAGAAGATTGTT